ATCGCAAACAGGAGAATGGTTACTCCAAATATTTGAGAATAATAGAACTAAAAGCTCAAGACAGAAGTTATCTAGAAAAAGCTATAAAATAAACATGTTTAAAATAACTAAAGCCATAAACGCAGGAAGAAAATTGTCATGAGAAAGGACCCTGCAGAAAAATGAGCGTGTTTTTCTCAAACAGCTTCAATAAACCTCTAGGAATGAACCGTGAGCAGCTGAAGTTCAGACCTCAGCAGACAGGTTAGTCAGCTTAGCTGTCGGATCTAAACTACGGATCTGAGGCACTCACTCTCACTTGAGACAAGCTGCTGGAGACAAGGGATGAGGGCCTGACACAGACACAGACACAGACACACACACACACACACACACACACACAGACACACACACACACTGACAAAACTAAATAAACATTAAAAAAAAAACAACAACACTGACACATGCTCTTTTCAGAGCATTACAATTAATTCAGAACAGAGTGACTTGGAAGGACTGAAACTCAGTGTCACAACTGCTAAGCCACTGTGCAGGCGAGGGCAGACTCAGGTTTCCAGAAGAAAAAGGGCTAAGACCTCCCAGGGAGAACTGTTAAAGATCCTTGGAGAAGTTTGAGGATGGACCACCGGGGCAGAAAGCTCAACAGTGCAGGAGGACCTGAGTCCCTGCCCCCCCACACACACACACAAATGGGCCTGGTGTGCCACCCACATCCTCATATCCAGATCCTTCAGAGAAAAAGGAGATTGGCGGACCAGGAGAGTGAGCCATCAGGCGAGAGGCAAGGTGCTTTGTGAACATTATGTGCTCTATGTAAGTGGTAACTGTTGCAAGCCTCAGCTGCAATGGCGGAGCTGCTCGCAGGCAGAGCCCTTACTCGGCATGCACTGGGTTCAGTTCCTAGCACCAAGAATGCGCAAAGGCTAGCAGCGCGGTAACAAACCAACAGCACCCAAGTCACAGCTCTAGCACTACGAGCTCACCAGATTGCAGTCTGAGCCCTGGGATGCACATTCCCTCTGTGCACCCTGTCTCCCAAGCCCCCTTCTGCTGCTTCCCCTGGGCGGCTGGGCCTTGTTGGGGGCCAGCCTCCAGTCCTATATAGCCCTGCCTGCTGTTGGCCACACCCCTGCCTGGAGTTACTGCTTAGTTCTTCCGCTTGCGAATCACCATGAAAAGCACAAAGCAGAAGGCAAAGTGCTAGCCTTTGAGGCCCCTGGGAGCATCAGAGGACATTGCCCGGACATTCAAGGGGGCTAGCTTCTCCCCCCGGAAAAAATGAGGCAGAGGAAATGGGACACTAGGGAACTGGACCAACAGTGGCCAATTGGACCACCCCTGCGGCCCCTGTTTTTTCCCCTCCAGCTTTTTGGGAGAAGGTCTGATTGTGACAGAGAGGCGGCTGGGAGGCACCTGCTGGCCTCTCGGCAACCACACTGAAGGTGTACGCTGGAGCAGGAACACAGGAAACCCAGCCCTTCTCAGAACGGCGCCCAGAGGCTCTCCACAGGAGCTTCCCATGAGCAGCTGCAGCACCATGTCAGAGGTTCAAGCACACAGTGTGCTAGGAATCAAGGCGTCCAGGTGGTGCTGACACCTTCAAGCCGCCCACCTCTGGGCAGAGCACAGTTAGCAGGTGCTGCAACGATACTGTCGGGGGACACAAACTGAGGGACTGAGGCAGCCCTGGAGACTCTGAGGAGCTGTGGTAATGCTCATTAAATGTCCTCACTCTCCACCTTCAACACTAGCCCTGGCCCTCTTCCCTCTGCCCTAGGATCCCAAAACATTCCAGTGAGAGGTTCTGGCTTGATGCTGGCAAACAGCCAGCCTCAGAGCGCCCGGGTGGATGGAAGACAGAAACAAGAAACCAAATGATGTTGCTTCTGAAGCCTCTGGGACTTCAGTGCTGTACATGACTGCAGCACAGCCCCGCACATCCAGCCTGATGCCACTATTGTCAAAAAGCAGAGCTTCCCATGACCGCCATGTGTGTGTGTCTCTGTCTGTGTGTGTAGGTGACAGTTAGCTCAGCAGAGACATAAAAGCAGCTCCACAAAGGCAGAGACACGAAGACTCTTTCAAGTAGAGGAAGAAAGACACTTGTGCCCTGTGATCTTTGTGAAATCTTTGATACTTGGCAACCAAAGGCGCACTTGGCTGTGTCTGCAGACGACAGGAGAGGACGGGGTGTGACCCGGGAAAGCAGGGGTGAGCATCCCTGAAGCAATGCTCCAGACAAGGACGGCCACTCTGGGCAGAGGAAATGGAACAAAGGGAGCAAAACCATTCCTCCTAGAGCTGCACGGAGCTTTCTGCTCTCCTGACACTCTGTCACTATGTCTTCTCTTCCTCTTTCCACACACAGGAGTCCTCAGAGAGACCTAGGGACTTGCCAGAGACTGCACCGCAAGTTAGTGGCAGAATCCACCAAAGCTTTCTCTCCCAGGCCACCATCCTTCTGCCACCTGTAAGAATCAAGGCTCTAAGAAGGTTAGTTCAGGATCAGAGCGATAGCCCCTTCCCTGCCTGGAGCCCGTCAGGCAGGGCCAGTTTGCACCACATCACTGCCATGTCCCCTCTCACAGGCTCTCCCACCCTGGAGTCTACAGCACCTCCTGGACAGTTGAGGAAGCCTGAGCAGGGCTGGCTGCCACCCACTCCTTCCATCTTCACGGGCAGGAAGAAGCTGCTGGCAAGGCCATGGGCTTCACAGTGTCCCTCTACCATTCCTATCCTGACCCTCAGTTCCTAAGGGATTAAGGTCTTATAAAGGTCATTTAGGGAGGGCCTAATCAAGCGTGACTTAGGCCCTTATAGATGGAGGAAATCTGGATGCACGTGTGTGTGTGTGTGTGTGTGTGTGTGTGTGTGTGTGTGTGTGTATGTGTGTGTGTGTGACACACATAGAAAAGAAGCATTGCTCTGCTGCTTGGCTTGGCCCTCACTCTCTCGGGTGAGCTCACCTCCCCCGTTACAGCCACAGCTGACTCCTTTGCTGATAGAAGCAGCTTCCCTGAGCTGCTAACATGGACCGGGGAACAGCGGCTCCTCAGGAATCCTCCAGGCCTTCGTCATGGGACTGAAATTGCTGAGACAGCTAGCCTCGTGGTCTGAGCAACTGCTGGGTTCTCAACCTCTCTGATGTGAGGTGGCCATTGTCAGACTACTTGGACTAATATTGTGCAACACAATCTAACAAGTCCTCTCTTAACATATACTCATCCCGTTAGTTCTGCTCCTCTAGTGAACCCTAATATGCACAGTGTATTTTCCCAGGGAAATATTTATGAACCCCCTTGAGCAATTAACGTCAAAACCATGACTGAAAAACAAAGAGAGCTGAAGCCCCAGAGAAGGGAGCCAACATTTGCAAAGGTCCTCCTCTGTGTCTAGGGATGCAGCTGATGCTGGCTCCATTTTACAGGTTTGGGAACTGAGGTAAAGAAAAGAAAAAAAAATCGCCCATGGGTTCATGAAGCAAGAGTATATTTGTCTAACCTGCTTGAGTGCACAGCCCCTGGAGCCACACAGCCTAGACTCAAGCCCTTGTCCTGCCACTTCCTGATTGTGTGACCTTGAACAACTTACTTATGTTCTCTGTGACTCAGTTTCTCTATCTGCAAAATGAAAGAAGCAATGATAACTATCCCACAGGGCTGCTGTTTGGCAATGAACGGGACATGGTTAGAATAGTGCCCAGCTCATCTTGGATGCTGGACTCCATGACAACAAAGGAAAAAGCTGGATGTGGCAGAGTAAAACCCAATCCAGGCCTGTTCTGCAGCGTTGCTGACACATCGTCCTGTCCAGGCCTGCGCTCTGTGCAGTCAGATGTGGTGGATTAACCTCCACCAGCACACCCCAGGGTACCCCATCCAAGGTGGAGAGGCAGCCAAGGCCTTACTCCTAGCCTGGCCCTCAGCCCTGTAACTAGGAAAAGCCTCAGAGATCAGTGCCTGTGCCTTTCTCTGTAGTGTTCCTGGGGCACTATTAATCTGATTTTCAGAGCATCTTCCCCTCCTCCTGTAGGGCGATAGAATTGAGCCTCTCTAGCACAATATAACCCCAGGTCAGGAACCATCGCATCATTTCCGACTCCATCTGAGGCAGGAGAATGCTAACAAGATTCATCACTCTGGGTGGAGGGGCCCTTTGTGAGTAGGCTCCCTAACTGTCATGTTAAGGGGGCTTCCCAGTTTTCATGAACCCCTGCAGTTGAGAAAATAGTCAAAAAGCCTCCTGGAGAGTCCTACGTGACCCACCCACTGGTCAGATGTGGCTCTAAAAGACTCCCATAGGCATAATCTCAGGAAAGTGAAGAAGCTTGCCCAGAGCCACATGGCCCAGCAAGCTGGTGCCAGAACCCTCATTTCTGGGTGTCCCCTACCCAGGAACCCGTGACTACCAGCAACTGTTGCTTCCCTTCTGTACACTATTCCTCCTCTCCTCTGAGCAGCTGCAATCAGACGAGGAAAAAGCAAAGCTCACCTTTCACGGAGCCCTCTCTGTGGCTGTCCCTCTACATCCTGGAACTGTTCCTCGTGATCTGACTGACCCAGGCCACCATCCTCAGAGGAGCTATAGTTTGACCATCCAGACATGCAGTCCTCCTGCCTTCTTCCCTCTTCTGCTCCCCTCCATCCATCCAACCATCTACTCTTTTATTTCTCATCTCCATCCCTCCAGCCAAGTTCTGAGCATCTAGACAGCTTAGCTTAGCCCTGCTCCAGACACTTGGAACTCCTTCTTCTTGACCTTGTACAGGGTCCATTCCAGAAGGGTCCACTTCTCTCCCACCCCCTCTAGGACCTAGAGCTGCGTCCATCTGCCCTGATAATCATGGAGGGTTGGTTGATTTGAAGCCAAGCCCCACTAATTTTTTGCACCAAGCCCAGAGTTGCCTCTAAGCACTGGCACCATGCAAGGTCTTAGAAAGCCTCGAGGTGGGCTGAGGCCCCATCCACTCCCCTCCCATCTCCACAAAGGCCCCTACTTACGAATGCAGAAGTCTCCATTCTCGTAGTAGCCAGGGCAGCACTGGGACCTCCGGCGGTACATGGTCCGGAGGCCACGCCTATATGCCGTCTTATAGCTGATCCTAGGCATGAGGGAGAGAGCCACTTGAAAGGACCGAAAATCAATCTGTCCCGTTTAGAATGATATTTGTGTTAAGCTCTATCGAGGATGCCATTCAATAATTACTTTAAAATGCATGGCGGCTTCGAATATGAAAGAACGCAATAAAGAAAAATCGATGGTGGGATGTGGGCCTCTGTGCTGCAGAATGCATTACCCAAGTGGTGCTGGAGAAACCTGCTGACTTCCCAATCTCTGCCAGACACAGGGCTGCCGAGAAAGCTGCTGGGTGACATTGTGGAGGGCCACAGGGTTGGCTTCCCCTAGGGTCCTTAAAAACATCAGGTTCTGGAGCTCCTAGGAGCCTGGGCAGGAATGGGATTCTGACAGCTCCGGTGCCCAGTGTCAGCCTCTTGAGTAGGAGCCTCTTGAGTAGGAGGGTCTGATGGTGGTAGTCCACATGACCTTCCTAGGCCTCCTGAAGTGGTGTGTTGTTCCCTGGGAGGCTCTAACCCTGCCCTCAGGCTGCAAAGACAGGAGTGGAGTCCCACTGGGCACTGAAAGCCAGAGAGAGACCTGGGTTCTAGTCCTTATGGAGACAGAATTGTTGAGACTTGGGTCTGGGCCAGAGATTTGCGGGTGAGGTTCTCCCAGCAGCCTCCTGAGTCAGGGACTGTCGTCACACCCCAGCACCACGCTCCATTAATTCCATTTCTTTCATTTGTCTTTTAGAGCATTCATTCTTATTTTATGTTCTCTCCCTACCCACCACCCATTATTTTATGGATGAGAAACTGATTCTCAGATAGGTTAATGACTTGCTTTCGGTCACACAGCTAATAAATGTCAGGGTCAGACAAGGAAGGGAAAAGGGGGGGGCACTATGATCAAGGCAGATTATACTCCTATATGAAAATGTCATAATTTGACCTGTTATTTTGTACAATTCATAAAGGCTAATAAAAAATACATTATCCTGAGAATAGGACTGCTGGAAGCAGGATTCAAACTCAGTTCACTCACATTGCAAAGCCACCAGGCCCCAGCCTAATGCCGGGTGCCAGTTCTCTCTGGTGGCTTTCTGGCTTTTCAGAGCATTTCTGAGAGAGTAGGAGGGACTGGTGTGTGGACTGAGTCCCTGGGAGGGATCACTATGGGGCATTGATAGGAAAGTCAGTCAGTGAAGCGCCCAGGCCCTGGAGCCAGAACTCCTTCCACCTTCCCTCCACACCTAGGGGGCTGCCCCTCTCTCCTCCTCTGTGGAGAACGCAGGATTGGGGTCCTTTTAGCCTGCTTCACACGGAAGCCCAGGCCCGGCTGGGAGGCCATTTCTTCAGCCGCAGCCTGGACAACCCTCCCAAATCTTTAAAATTCTCACCTCATGACAAACGACAATGAGAGCCTCACGGGAAATCTGTGATATTTGGGAATGCATTAAGCTAAGGTCATTCTACTTTGTCAAAAGCCTGTAATGGGTAAGCTACTCCCCCTGCCCCACAGAAAGGCAGTCCCTGGTAGGGAAGGGCTTGTGCGTGTGCGTGTGTGTGTGTGTGTGTGTGTGTGTGTGTGTGTTTAGCTCTCAGATAAAGAGAGATTCAGAGTTGACACAGAAGTCACCAAACCATTCTCCCTGCCACACGAGATGACTCCCAAGCCTTCAGATGAGGAGGAACCCCTCACGATGCTCCTCACGGGAGCGAGGCCACCACTGCTCCCGGGTCCTCCAGCCTTGTCCTTCCAGAGTAGGAAGCAGGGCAGGTGGAGTCTGGGGGGAGGCTGCTCCAGGGAGGACACTGGACCAAGCTTCTGTACCCCGCAGACTGCTGGTGCCGCTGTCAGCACTCACACTTTGGGTCATCAGCGAAACCCCATGGAGTTTCATGGAGACCCAATAATTTAGCAAAATCATCCATGTTCCAGGAACACAGCCTATTTTAATGAGCAGCCTCTCACTCACCCAGCCCCCAGGCAAGGGAAGGCTGTATAGCCTCCCGAGACCCACCAGAACAGAGTCAGTGCTGGCTCCGGAAGAGCAGGGTTCGGGGCAAGACGGGTGCCAGCTGCTGCCTCTGCCCCTGGTTAGGGCCACAGGCAGGCAAGTCCAACAAAATGGGCTGTGCTAGTACGACGAGGTGGGTTCAATTGCGCCCGACTGGGGCTCTATCCACGAGGATCCATGACGCAGAGACCAGAAACGCCCCAGAGCTGCGCCCTTCCCTCTTGGTGAGGAAGCTGGGGTGCCCATCCATCAGCTTTCCCTGTGGCAGGTTGAGGGTTTCCTGCCAACAGGTCTTGGAGCCTGAAACTTCCAGCCAGAAGAGTGCGTCTAAGGGTCTCAGCACACCAACATTGAGAGCTTGGGGCACGCAGCACGGGTAGTGCACAAAGCACCTGCCCCACGGGGCCGCCCATCCTCCACCCAGGCCTGGGGCGTGCTTACCGGTGCCGGGTGCACTTGAACCAGTTGAGGATGTCTGCACATCGTGTGTAGTAGATCTGGTCAAAGGGGTGCGCATAAGACTCCTGCACTGTCACAGCATAGCTGAGGAGCAGACAAGAGATGGAAGCCGTGGTCAGCAAAGGCCGAGCCCGTCCCACCTCAGACTAGCCCAGCCCACAGTCCCAAGACCAGGATCCAGCTCTGACCTCTCCTCCCAGCTCCTCGACTCCTGGACCTCAGCTATAACCCAGGCCACATCTGTGCCGGTTAGTGTTAACTGTCAGCCTGACAGAATCTAGACATCAGCTGAAGGGTGTGCCTCTGAGCACACACAGGGCACACAGTTATCCGGATCGAGTGAAGTGCGGGGGAAGATCCGCCCACCGTGGGTGGGACAGTCCCCTGGGCTGGGATCCTGAACTGCATGAAAAGGAGAGCGAGAGGCCAGCAAGCAGCATGCGGTCTTTCCTTCTGCTTCCTGAGGCGAGGATTGTGACCAGCTCCTGCTGTGACTTCCCCACTATGGCGGGCTGTGAGCCAATATAAATCTTTTCTTTCACAAGCTGCTTTTGTCTGAACAATTTATTACTATGATAGGGAAAAAAACCCAGACTATATCCTTACTTTTTTTTTTTTTGAGACAGGTTTTCTCTGTGTAGCCTTGCTGTCCTACACTTGCTTTGTAAACCAGGCTGGCCTCGAACTGTCTGCCTCCCCGAGAGCTGGGATTATAGGCATGCGCTACCGTGCCCTTACTAACTCTTAACCCAAGTAATTTTCATAAATTGTATTTTACTTATCAGACAGTAAAGGAAGGTTTGGTTTATTCCACATGGCCCTAGAAGGCAGATTCAAGAAATCAGAAATATTTTATATCATCCAGATAGGTTGGTACATACCATTTAGCCTCAGACATAGAAGATTTATTGAGCCCAGGAGCTCAGAGGAGCCTCGGCAACATACAAGACCCTTTCTCTAAAATAGTGATAATATGTTTTTTTGGATATTTATGGTGTTTTGTTTTGTTTGAGACAGGGTTTCTCTGTGTAGCCTCGGCTGTGTGAAACCAGGTTGGCCTTGAACGCACAGAGATCCCCCTGCCAAGTGCTGGGATTAAAGGTGTGTGTCACCACACCTGGTCCTTACAGTCTTTAAAAAGTGTGTATGGGAGATGATCTTTAAAGCAGCTCTCAGTAAGTGGCCTTGTCACATACGTGAAGAAACTGAGGCTGGGAGGGGCGGCCGACCCAGCTCCACAGCCGGCATCAACAGCTGCTTGTATTAACAGTGTCTGTCCCTTTTTAAACCCTTTAATTCCCTTCAAGTCCCACTGTCTTGGGTGTGTTTGTGTACGGGGGCGCATGTATATGAAGGTGTTTGTGTGCACGCGTGTGGAGACCTGAGGACAACCTCTGGGGTCGCCATCTTGCTTTATGAGACAGGGACTCTTGCTGGCTGGGAACTTGCCAAATAGACCAAGGTGGCTGCATCGAGTTCCAGGGATCCGCCTGTTCCTGTCTCCCCAATTCTGGGGTCACAAGTGCTCATCACCATGCCCAGCTTGCTTGCTTGTTTAATGTGGGTTCTGGGAGATCAAACTCAGGTCCTCATGCCCTCTAGGCCAACACCTGACCACCTGACTCTTCCCAGATACTCTTATAAAGTAGGGAGAAGAATTAATCTCACTTTGCAGAGAAGGAAAAAGTAACACACAGTAACTTCCCAGTGGCCTCCTGGTCTATTCCTTCTCTAGCATAGCTGGGTTTCATAGTGGATGTGTCTCCAGACCTCCCAATGAAGAAGTCGTTTGCATCCTGCCTGTTAGCTGTAACCTAGACCAGCAGGAGAAAGCCACCGGGAACCGTTCTGGCTTCAGCAGGACAACTTTGTCACCCTGGCCAGGTGATGTGAAGCGGCACCGCTGACGCCTGGCTGCTGACGCGTGGCGCACGCCTCCTGGGCAGGATGGAGAGCGTGTCAGGAATTAATTGCCATGTAGACTGCTCTTCCATGTTTTCCCCAGAAGGCTCACTGACCTGGGCCAGATGGCCAGGCCCAGGCGGTAAAAGCCCATCTGCTTCGCCTGAGGAAACTGTTAGTTCATTTGCGAGGGGGCTGAGGCCTGTGGGGCCTCAGTCTGCTCCCTGATGCTGGCGAGGTAAAAGGTCTAGAGCCCTGCAAGGAGGACAGGAATGGCCCACAGTGCTCAGCAACCCAGACAAGTGGGGGATCTGTCTGACACAGAGGATGATGAAGACAGCTCTCAGTGCGGGTACCTGGGAGATGTGACTGACAGGCAAGTATATGCCAACATGGACCAAAGCCCTGTGGATCACCAGGCCTTAGGACACAGAGGCGGGTCAGCATCCCCTCCTCCCCGCTGCTTCCCACAGGTCTTCAGCTGAAATTCCACAGCACCACGCTGCCATGCTGCATTTTGCAAGGCTGTCTCTCCGAAGGGGAATGAATGAGTCGGAATCTGGGCCTGGAGGCCTGTGTGGAACCCATCGCTCACTCTCGTGTCCTTAAACATGTCATTGAACTCCCATAAGCCTCCATGTCCTCACTTGAAGGTGTATGACAAATACGAGGGACTTCACGGATTACTGTGAGAATTAAAGGGCAGCGACAGTGGTATATACCTCTCATGGTAGAGAGAAAAAAGAAGAAAAAACACTTAAAATGCTTACTGAGTACATAGTAAGTGCTTAATAGATGCTAGCCTTCATCAGTATGACAGGCAGTGATTCTCCCCCTGTGCAAGGCATGGACCGATCCTTTCTCCTTATCATGTTGGGGGCAGGATAAATGCCCACCCTTGTGGAGCACTTGGGGTTTCAGCTTCCTGTTCCAGCACTGGCTGAGGCAAAGGAACCAGCCCCAAAGGTAGGAAGAATTAATGTCACGGGGCTGCACCTCGCTCTGCAGGACTCCCTAAGCCGAGCGAGTCCAGCTAGAGGGTCTGTACAGGGCCAAGTCTCCAACCTGACACGTGCACCCTGCTTTCACGGCTGGGTGCTTTAACGCTGCTCACTTGCCAACATGCTAATGAGGGCTGATCCATCTTGTAGCACCAGGCTTTACCAGCTGGGGGCGGGGCACTGCCCTGGTTTTTGGGGTAGAGGGACATAATCAATGAGAAGCCCTCCAAAGGTGCTAATCCAGCCAGGGAAGTATCCCCGAGAGCTCTCTGAGGACCAGGCTGTGTTTCCGGAATGACACAGACTGGAGCCTTCTAAACACAGTGTCGGGGCGCTTGGCTGGAGGGGAGCTTCACTGCTGGGTGGCTCCCTGTTCTCTCCTGCTGGCCATGGCCTGAGCTGAGAGCTGCGGCCACCGGCGAGTCAGTTCACTCCCAGTGTTCTTACTTTCCAAAGATAAGACAAGTAGTTTGATTTTTAAATTTGTGTAGATCCATTATGAGTACTAACACAAGGGAGGCCTCTCTGTGAGAAAGACCTAAACTGGAGCCTTGGAGGAAGACACAGATGGCCAGAGAGGCAGCGGGAACCCTAGAACCTGGCTGCTGCATCAGCCTCACCTGGATGACAGACAGGCTTACCTGAGGAAGGAGGCCCCAAATCAGAGACTAATAAGGAGCCCTCATCTATCAGTGAGGCTCCCTGAACTCGGGGAAACAAAGGCTTAGATTCACCGACCGGGAAGAAAGGGGAAAATGTGAAAAATGTAAGACTGATTCCGAGTCTCTGGGCTCCGTAGCTGGCATTTGCGCTCTGTGTGGCCTGAGCCAGAGCTGCCAATATGACGACAGCGATTGTAAAACACACTTGTGAAGCTGGCTCCCTTGCTCTTCCCACAAGCCTTTGAGGTGAGGATATTTACTTCCCTGCATGGATGAAGCTGGCTGTAGGCTCACGGCAGATCGAGAACCCCAAGAAGCGCAGCTGGCAAATAGAAAAATCCAGGTTGGGGCGCCCTGAAGTCACCACAGATTTTTTTTTTTTTTTCTTTTGGAGTCTTCCCAGAGCACCACAGAAATACCCTTTGCTTCAGCCTTGATGTCATCACAACTTTACACAGGCCGTCCAGTCACCAGGCAGGACACTGGAGAGGGCACTGTCCCCCTGCCTCCAGCCAGTCTTCCTGGCCCACAGTGTCTAGGCTAGCCCTGTGCGTGGTCTTGTGAGGTTCTCCCCGCCCAGGCGCTGGCCATCCATCCTCTTGGGCCCATCTTACTTTCCCTCCTCCACCATCCATTTCCCCCGTCGGGTCTTCATCTTAATTTTATTCATTTGATTTATTAGTGTCTAAGTGGCAGAGTCATCCTGGTCAGCATGGCCAATCAATTCCAAGGTTTAATTTGGTTTTTCCTGATTGGGTCTCTGGTCACTGTCTTTCTGCTCACCAAAATCAATACTTTAACCTTGTGCTTCAAAGTCAGACCATCTGCAGGGACCTAGCCTAGACAGTAGGACTTGCTGCTGCAGCCAGGATGCAGCAGGCTCTCTGCTGTGGCCCTGCCTCTCTGTGCGAGCTAGCCTCCTGCCCTGATCACACCGAAGGCAGAAGAGACCTGCTCATCCTCCCCATGGCACTCATCCACTCTGCCCTTGCTGCCAGTTCTTGGAGACTATGACAGACATCCCAAAGTCCAAGATCAAGACATCTAGGACCAGAATCCATACCTCCTCACTCATGCCACCACACTAGCTGTACACAGCGGTAGACTGCCCTGGGCCTCTACTCCCTCCTCTGCAAGTGGGTGTGTGGGAGCGGATACTGTCAACTTGACTGGATCTAGACTCACCTAAAAGGCAAACCTCTGGGGGCGGGGCCGGGGTGGGTTCTAGACTGGGTTAACTGAGATTGGAAGATTCTGCCTCAAAGTGGGCCGCTTGGCTCCTTGGGCCTTGGACTGCCTAGAAGGAGAACAAGCAGTTGTTTATCTCTCTGCTTCCTCATGTGGCCAGCGGCCTCACACTCCTGCAAAACCATGCTCTCCTTGCTGTGATACACTGTACCCTCATGTGAGCTATATTTGTTAGATATTTTGTCGTAGCAATGAGAAAAGTCCCTAGGACAGGGAGGGGATACACAGGAGGAAGGGCAGGGCAGACAGCCCAACAGGACGACATCACCGGAAGTTGCTTTACCTTAGCTTTCATTTTGAGCTGCCCTGTCTTGCCTTACCGCGTTAGACATCCAGTCCTCTACAGCCAGCAGCCGCATCACCCAACTCTGGTATTTCTCTAGAGTGCCACACTGAAAGAGCCCCCGGGGAATGGAAGCTCTGAGTTGCCCACTTACCTCTCCCAGTGGCTACACACATTGGGGTCCTCAGGGTTCAGAGTGAGGGCAGCTTGCAGAAGGGAGACAACAAGGAGGCCCACTGCGGATAGCGCCATCCGGCCCTGTGTGAGAACAGAGAAGAGAGGGGCTTACTCACACACTGGCTTCGGCATCTGTTTGGTGCTAAGATTTGGTTCTCCCTCAAAGTGAAGGAACGGGCACTAAACACCCCGGCTTTCCCACAGCTGCCACACAGCAAAGAACACTGAATGTTTCACACTTACGTCACTGACCAACAGGGCAACAGCTCTGAGCAACTGAACAGTCTGAGTCACGGCTCTAATATCTCCCCAGGAAGAGGCCCACATGCAATGCATTCACTAAGTTTCACCGCATCCAGCGCTTTCATCCCTCCAAACCCAACGTCTATCCTTGATCCAGAAACCTAGATCTGGCCGTTGTAGAGTCAAGGCTCTTCCCTCTCCCTCCTCTTCCTTTCTGGTGAGGCTGTGTCATCCTGTCACCTCCTACTCCTCCTATGCCAAGGGAGAGAAGCAAAATAGTTGTGTGGCCCACAGAGGAACTGAGCTGAGACAGCCCTTCTGAGCATTCTGGGCACCGGCCACCTGCAACACTGGGCCCCTGTTTCTCTTTCCTTGTAAAGAATATCAGAGCCCTGGTGTCACCAAATATCACTCCTGCTGTGAGATGAGGGGCCAAGACAGTCAGATAACGTGCTTGCTTTAAGGAAGCAGCATGCCCAGATTGTCAAGGCCCCTAGATACCAATGTACGGGGAGTATTTAGTGCAGGAACAAGGTCCTGTGTCGCTGCACTAAACACTCAATGTCCCCAACTTGGAGACACAGGGCAGTGAGGACACTTTCCGTGGAGCTGGACCTCATGAGTCCCAGTGTCCTGTGTGAACTGACCCAAGCCCGTGACTCATGGAAGAGGTGCTATTGTGATTCATTTAAAGGTTTTAATGAATCTAGAGGAGCTTTTCTTTTCAACTATTGACACTAAAAGAAATACACTTTCCATTAAGCAGGGCCTTTGAGGGTGTTCTAGAAAACAGTTTGACATTGGAAATCAGTCCCCAGATTTGAAATGGTTGGCTATGTAGCCCATAGGCCCTGCGTTCTCAGACGAGGACCATTCCTCCTCCTCGGAGGACAAACACAAATGGCATGCATTTGCACACATCTGCAGACACAGCTCTGCATGCAGCTCCCTGCAGCTCCTTTCTCCTAGAAGCCTAACTGCTCTGCTCTCCACCTCAGTCATTTCCTTGTTAAATTCTTTCTTAAACAGCTCCCTCGGCGACAAGCAAATCATCACAAATTCCATGTAACCATGGGGTCTAAATTAATGACTAATGAGGCTGTACTTTCTACATACATTCTGGACATCACCAGGCTAAGTGAAGATTTAGCTGGAGATCAAGGGCATGTACAGATGCCTTGGGGGAAGGAAGGGTGAATCCACTGTTCCTCTACATTGGCAGAGTCCAGATCAGCTACTCTCCTGTTCCCATCCTCTCCCCTCTCCAGGCCAGCAGCAGAGACTCAGCAACCTGGAGTCCAGCTTGGGGGCTGGTGCCAGTGTCAACCATCCATTCTACCACTTCATTCTCCACTAGGAGATTCAAGTAGATTCAGGAGAGGGCACCTGTGCTAGGGAGAGTTGGAGAGCCAGGGGGGACATGAACGTCTTCTCTGCAGAGGTCTGGGCTGATCAGGCCTCTCTGGGAGGAATGAGTGAGACAGAGAACGAAGGAAGGTAGGCTAGCCTTGAATGTCTACTGCAGGGAATGTTTTGTCTCTGTTTCCTCAGTGGCCCTGAGACACACTTGAGCAGGCCCTGTTACCTTCAGCTTCTTTCTCCAAAGGACTCATGGCAGTTTTAAATTCAGTAGGCTCTGGCTGTCAAAGGAATGGGCCACAAGATAAGAGGAGATGAGTCCTCTGGCTCCTGTGGACCCATGTGACTAAAAGGATGGCTACTTGGATGATAGCCGTCATAGGCAAGCTCTTTAGAAGTCTTCCCTGAGCCATGTGTGGTGGTGCATGCCTTTAATCCTAGCACTTGGGAGGCAGAGTCAAGTAGATCTCAGAAAGTTCCAGGACAGCCAGGGCTACACAGAGAAACTCTGCCATTCCAGGCTAGCCAGGGCTACACAGAGAAACCCTGTCATTCCAGGACAGCAGCAGCAGCAAAGTCTTCACTAAAGCTCTTCTTGCTGAGTAGGGTTTGAACCCCACAGTTTACCTCTTACTGGCAGGGATCAGTGGAGACTGACCATGGCAGAGAGGTTAATGGTTATCTGAAAGAGTGAACACACTAGAAGAGATGGATGGAGTGGGGAAATGGTATTTAAACTGACAGTCTGAGCTTTAAAACATCAAGTCCTTATGGAGGGCCATGCCCAGTTCTAGTGGGGGTAGGAAGAGGAGGATGGCCAACACTAGGGAAGAATGACAATGCCTCCCAGGACCCTAACACTCAGAATCTTCCCCAGAGCCTGGCCAAGCCTGAGATGTATCCTGGGCTGTGGGTGTGGCTCAATACTACAGCAGCTGCATAGTGTGCGCAAGGCCCTGAGTTCCATTGCTAACACTAACATCAACCAGCCAGCCAGCCAGCGAGCCAGCCAGCCAGCCAGTCAGTCAGTCAGCCAGCCAGCCAGTCAGCCAGCCAGCCAGTCAGTCAGCCAGTCAGCCAGCCAGTCAGCCAGCCAGTCAGTCAGCCAGTCAGTCAGCCAGTCAGCCAGTCAGTCAGCCAGTAAGTCAGCCAGTCAGTCAGTCAGTCAGTCAGTCAGTCAGTCAGTCAGTCAGTCAGTCAGTCAGTCGGCCAGTCAGTCGGTCAGCCAGCCGGCCAGCCAGCCGGCCAGCCAGCCGGTCAGCCAGCCAGTCAGCCAGCCAGCAGTCAGTCAGCCAGTCAGTCAGCCAGTCAGCCAGTCAGTCGTCAGTCAGTCAGTCAGCCAGTCAGTCAGCCAGCCAACTAAGAAGCTGGACAGATAGCTTAGTGACTAAGAGTGCATGCACACATGCACACACAAACAGCCCTTTTTATGAGGCTAGGCCTGTTCATTCCTGCTCCATCTCTCCCTCAGCCTGCCCTTTGTCTTTAACTGTCCAGTCAAGCACCATCTATTACCCAGCAGGGCTTGACAAAGGCCAGGACCATCGAAAACATCCCTATTGGGCCCCACAAAGGACAGCAGAGACCCGGTGTACCAGAGTGGCCACCTTGCCCACGCTGCTACCTTCCCAGCATGCTTCCTTTATCTTTCCGACATGCTGTAAGCAACCAGTGGTGGGGCAGAGAGCCCTACCCCTCCGTTTCAGAGACCAACTCCCAAACAATGGTATCTCCTCATCTCTGACACTTCCATTAAGAAGACAGAAAAGCAGCCAGAAGGAAGCTGTCGGCATATGAGGGCGACTCCTCCCCAGTCACTTTAGGGAGACTTCCTGGAGACTCTCGGGGAGCTCACAAACCAAAGACATATGCTTATAAGATGACCAAGGGAAAAATCAATCCTGCCACCATGGTTATTAGGGGACTCCATTTAGAGTGACAGAGGTTAACATATCAGGCACCGTCGGGGCATTAATAATTAAATAGGGAGATGCCCCAGGATCATTTCAGAGGGAGACACATGTAAATAAGTCAGCTGGCTTCTTCCCTGTCCCCTCTCCTTGCATTCTAAGAAGCAGAGAGAGGAGCCAGGTTCCAGAGTTAGGGAGCTTCCTCCCGCTTCAGAGTGTAGGAGGCTAATGAATGGAGGGGCAGAGAGGGAGCCAGGAGGTGTGATCCACACCTGCAATTGGGGTCCAAACAGTCCATGCCTCTGCCGTGGCTTAAAGGAGATCCCCTCAGGATGACTGAGGCACACTGAGCAAGACAGGGAGCAGCAAGTGGCAGACCCGGGAAGGCCTTGGTGGAGTACACTAGACTTGGGTGGCTAGAGCATGGACAGCGGAGGCAGATGCACACTGGGATGGGAAGGCCAAAAGTGGCAGAAGGCACTGGAGGAGCCAAGTGGGAGAAGCCCCGGCAGTGGCCAGATGGAAACGTTGGAAGGGGCTTATGTGGAGTGTTAGAGTCCTGTGAGAACATGACAGAAATGTTTCCAGTGGAGGCTCTCAGGAATGGCTAAGCTCTGCCGCCTGCTACATCATCAGCGCAAACCTCACTCGGGCTTTGGAGGGACCTGAGGAGAGTCCTCTCTAGCACGGCCAGCTACTGAGCAGAACTCCTCATGACCCCAGTGTGGGAGGCTCTGCTTCCCTGGCTCAAGGTCAGGTCTGCCGGGAGGCCTGGTACCTGTCGGTTTGTACCCTTCCCATTTGTATGGGTTTGTTCTGACTCTTCTAGGCTGCCACTAGGTATCTTAAGAGACACTGACCTTGGGCTCAGTTTGTATGAAACACCAGGCTCAGTGTCCAGCGCTACACAGACTGATCCCAGCATTCGAGAAGCAGAGGCAGAAGCATTGGAAGTTCAAGGTCATCCTACTACACAGTGACTTCAGGTTCGGTGAGTTTAAGATATATGAAGCTTGGGCAGTGAACAGGGAGTGAGAGAGTAAGAGAGAGAGAGAAAGACAAGAGACACAGAGGGAGAGACACAGACAGATACAAAGAGAGACAGAGAGACAGACCTTGCAGCAAGGCCCCCCTCCCTACCCAGGAGTCCTGCTCTGGCCTGGATTGGCCATGAAGACTGAGGCAACTTTGGCAATGCTGGCATCCTCAGGGGCCTCTGTTCTATCTTTAGACTCAGGTCAGCACCTGTGGAGTTCAGTCTTCTTGATGGCATCCCACGCTTGGCCAGCCACCAGGGGCTCTCTTAGCCAATGGGTATAAACTGGGACAGAGGGCAGATAGACAAACAGATGGCCCAAGGACCTGTTGTTATAAAAGTGATTGTTCGTCTGTGCAAAACTCCTACTTCCTGTTTCCCCTCCTACCTGCCTTATCCTGAAGGTGATAAAATCCTACATTGAAGCCTCCTCCTCTCTGTGTCCCTTCTGATGAGTTTCTCCTTCTCAACCAGTTTGCACTGGCATCAGAGGGCAGCATTCAGACACTGTTTTCTGGACCTCAAACTCCTGA